GGGACAAACTAAACTTTAGTGCCGCAGTATCAAAAACAACGAAATAGAACAAGAAATATCACACAATGTACAACAACGCACAGGGACAACATATACTTTAGTACCGAAGTATCAACAACAACAAAATAGAACAAAAAAATATCACACAATGTACAACAACTCACAGGGACAAACTAAACTTTAGTGCCGCAGTATCAAAAACAACGAAATAGAACAAGAAATATCACACAATGTACAACAACGCACAGGGACAACATATACTTTAGTACCGAAGTATCAACAACAACAAAATAGAACAAAAAATATCACACAATGGACAACAACACACAGGGACAAACTATACTTTAGTACCGCAGTATCAACAACAACAGAATACAACAAAAAATACCACACAATGTACAACAACCCACAGGGGCAAAATATACATTAGTACCGCAGTATCAACAACAACAAAATAGAACAAAAAAATAGATTATAGACAGCTAAAGATACCATCCAAATAAAGCACAACACACAGGGACAACATATACTTTAGTACCGCAGAATCAACAACAACAAAATAGAACAAAAAAATAGATTATAGACAGCTAAAGATACCATCCAAATAAAGCACAACACACAGGGACAACATATACTTTAGTACCGCAGTATCAACAACAACAAAATAGAACAAAAAAATAGATTATAGACAACTAAAGATACCATCCAAATAAAGCACAACACCACACAAGGATAAAATATACCATAACACACAGGGACAAAATCGATCATATCATCAACAAACTGTGACAAACTATCCAACACCTAAGGATTCCATATGCCATGGCACCAATACATCAGGAGAAAATACACCACATTATTACCTTACTAGTACACCATAACACCAACATACAAGGATATCAATACCACAACAAAAATACAAAATAAGTACCAAGTATACAAAGGGGCAACACACAGGAACAAAATGTACAACAGCGCATACACCGCAAATGTACAACACAGCTGCAACCCAAAAGAAAAAACAGGAACTTTAAAGTTGACAATTACAGTAGGTGATATCAATATGATATTAAAATCTTTTCGAAATAGCAAAACGCTTTTGCAAGATTCAGTGACTTAATTACAGCATAGTAATTGTTTATTAAATAGACCATCACAAATTACGAATTTATAATATTTGAATTACACATTATATAGGTTAACAGCAAAATAACATGTGTTAGAAAATATACAGGCTGTTACAAAATATTTATTCCTTAAAAGTGTTAACTTAAAACTTATGTCAGTTACATATTGTAACAAAAATGTTTAAATACCATTTATCTATCTTTCTAACTATTTTGATCTGCCATAATGGAAGTAACAAATACACTTAATGTTAGGGGTTCAGTGCCTGAATACATTGTGGGTATCGATTAACTTGTTTTGATAAAATTCATTTCAAAAATGTTATCATACGAACTGAAGCCCTTGTTTGATATTGCAACGGGTAAATGTACCATCATTTTTTTCATTTCCACGAGAAGATGGAACACAAGAGACATCAAAACAAATTAGGAAACATGTCCTCGGGAAGAGCAAGTTTTGGCATGACGCCTCTTATCACATCTGACACCAACAAACTAAAGGACGGATTCTCCACTATGGTCGTCCCTGACATCTTGATGGATATCGTGTCATGATGAGATGACAACTGTGAAATTTCTTCAGTCTGAATCGAGGTCGTCCAGGTATAAACCGTGAGTAGTAAAACGGTGAACGGTTGTCATGGTTTAGGCCTAGTAAGTTTTGTATGTGTTATTACTTATCTTTGTTGTCTTAAACATTTTCACTTTTTTTATTTCTCTTTTGTTAAACGGCATTATCTTTGTTTGCTGTCTTTCATTTTGTATCAATTTGAAACCAATGAAATGGTAATGACGGATTTTGTGTCGAAAGAATAAATGCGAGGTGTGGTTTCCTTTCAGTAACTCCATAGTTTACAAAGTAAATACAACCAGCACGTACACAAGACTCTCCCAAGATTAGGGCATACATGCCTTTACAAATATCCGTCACAACTTGCTCATAGGGATAATTCAATTTGCACAATTTTCATAATCTTCAAGAAAACATCTTGTTTTACTACGGTTCAATTGTATTTTAAATCCAGATTAAATTTGATGATGCTTTTGACTACATACGAAGGAGCTTTAAAACCGGTAGTATAAGTCCTCTCCGTGGTTATTTATGATAATTTAATTGGTCCCCGAGATAAGCCCAATTGAATAAGTGCATTCGTATCTTTTGTCAAGTGGATACATCTCGCAAACGGTGAAAGGTCAATTTCTACACACGGAACACTTAGAGGGGTTATCATTTGTTATGTAACACCGCTAACCCCCAAAGAAGACGTTGTTAAGTGTATCCATATCAGTTTTCACGCTCACGAGCACACGTTGATAAGAAAACATATATTTATTTACATGTAGCGAGGCTGTCGTGTATTTTTTTTATCATTTAAGACACACGATTCTAACAGCTCTGTGTGTTATCGTGGCGCTCCTTAGCGTGATCTGCGATTGAACATACTCATACTGATAAATCTGTAACACAAAACGGTTTATCTTATCGCATATATATCAAGCATAAACTTCATAATATGACCAATGAAAAGGAAACAATTAAAGACGAAAAGTAAAATTTGTCATATCTGATGTACAAATGTAGTAAAAAATGATAACATGATAACCAACAAAACACCTTTCCATATAAATTTACGATATATATCTATTGGGCAAACGCCGCAACATATTGTTACTTGATAAGGTTAAGCTTTAACAATTGGCGTAACCATGATTTTTATTAAAGTTGTTACAAATATGTTCTACCTTATATTTTATACCTGTGATTTGTATGGAAAGTTATGGATATGGGCTTCCTTGCATAGTATCCTTGCCTTTAATGTATATTAAGACCTAAGGATACTCTCTATGCTATGTATATCTTACCCATGATATATGTAATTTGTGTTAGAGTAATTGTTTTTGTTACTTTACACGTGATGTATGTGTTTTGTGTAAGTTATCATATCTAAAAACATTAACAGTAGCATTACATATCTATATAAATTACATGAGCGTTTTCATGTTATGCTCGTTTCAAACGTGTCGTCAATTGAATACACATAATCGACATAACTGTTCATTTAATTTGTGTTAAAGTTTTCCTTATGTGGAAATCTTCTAGACAGTGGATGCATGATACAGTAAGGTAGTACATACCGGCGTGTGTGGCTGAGTGGCTAACACGCCGGCTTTCCACGCAGACGGCCGGGGTTCAATCCAAGAACACGTAGTAGGATGTGAAGTTCACAGGAAAGTGTTTGTCTCCAAACAACAACTTCAATGGGTTGTATAAAACAGGTAGGTGTAACACTATCTACTGAAACATTCAAATGATGTGGCTTAATAAAAAGATGTTGTTGGAAATCAGGTCTCAAAACCACAAAATATAAACTAAAATCAAATGTATATTCTAGTAAATAAAACGCAACGTCTAAAACACGTCATATAATATGTACGTAAGTATTCATCGCAGACCAACCTTACTACTACTGTAATACGATTATAGAGACATCAAGTGATGTCATACAATTTCAGGGTAATAGAGATCGGAGGGGGGATGTACCAGACATAGGCAGTAATCAAAACAATTATAAGGAAATATCACACAAACAATGTACGTATTGGATGTGCCGCAACGTTTTAATACCGACTGGTGCCATGTCATGATCTGGCAGATGGTCCATGTGGTGCAGTTAAAGCTAACCCTCCGGGTCTCATTGTTCAACCATCAGGTTATTCGGGTATGTCTCTGTTTTTGAGTCCTCAGAATCTGTTATACGTGTCAGGATAACCCTCCGGTGCTCATTGTTCCACCATCAGATTATTCGGGTATTGTTCTGTTTTTGAGTCCTCAGAATCTGTGATACGTGTCAGGATAACCCTCCGGTGCTCATTGATCGACCACTAGGTTATTCGGGTATTGTTCTGTTTTTGAGTCCTCAGAATCTGTTATACGTGTCAGGATAACCCTCCGGTACTCATTGTTCCACCACCAAGTTATTCGCGTATTGGTCTGTTTTTGAGTCCTCAGAATCTGTTATACTTGTCAGGATAACCCTCCGGTGCTCATTGTTCAATCACCAGGTTATTCGGGTATTTTTTGTTTTTGAGTCCTCAGAATCTGTTATACGTGTCAGGATAACCCTCCGATACTCATTGTTCCACCACCAAGTTATTCGGGAATGTCTTTTTTTTTGAGTCCTCAGAATCTGTTATACGTGTCAGGATAACCCTCCGGGGCTCATTTTCCACCACCAGGTTATTCGGGTATTGTTCTGTTTTCGAGTCCTCAGAATCTGTTATACGTGTCAGGATTTACCGTTACATGTTACTTCCGTCTCCAAAGCTTGTCATAAACTTAAAGCCACAATTATCTCTGTTGAATAGTGGCACGGTTATAATATACACATTTTACTCATTTATACGAAACTAATCAGTATTCCTTTACCTTTTTGAAATTCATATAATGCAGGGGTCCCTGATCTTGTTTTATTTAGGTATAGTATTGATTTTCAAATCACTTGTGACCTGAATTCTTGCTGGATAGAGGGTAGACATCATGATGCTAGCTATATATGCTGGGAACGCTGACCCTCCTGAAGTACTACATTTCGTCTGTTTTATAGGGAGTTCATACCGTATTTTCCTTTCGTTTGGGTATCTCCGCCGTTTTCACTCTATTTTGAATCGATTTTAAATTCAGATTTCATCTCTTATGTTAGATTGATGTACTTTCATATATTTATTTTCCGTTCACAACATCATAATTTCATTTGACTTTTCAAGAATATGACAAAAAAAACTACATAATGATATGTATATCATTTCAGAGGTGGTCGAATAAACTATTCTTTAAATAAGCAGTCATGTAGGTAGAGTTTCCATTAAACGTTGTATATTGTATGATCCAGTCTGTTTATTTCCAATTTAATCCGAGATTGTAATGCACGTACAATTAGAAACAGTCCACACAATTGATTCCATTCTTAACTAATTAACATTCTGAATATTTAATATTATTACTTTAATTCTTAATTGGTTGTCTGAATAATTCAAGCAGTTATTACAATTCTCAACATTAATTGGATACTAACAATGTACCTTATTTACGTAATTAACATTCTGAATATTTTATAGTATTACTTTAATTCAAGCAGTGTATTAACATTACTTGAATTATGGCGTTATTACAATTCTCAACATTAATTGGATACTAACAATGTACCTAATTTACGTAATTAACGTTCTGAATATTACACAAATAACTTTAAAATTTCTACGTAATTAACATTTTTGAATGTGCATAATACAACTTTGATTCTTAGGCAATTAACATTCTGAATGTTTCATAATATTGCCTCGATTTGTACGTTATCATCATTCCGTATATTTCATAACATTACTCCAATTCTTAAATACAGTGTAACATTCCGAATATCATCTAAAGTTACTATGATGCTAACCTAATTCACATTTCGAATATTACATAACATCACTTTCTTTCGTAATTACATGAAACTTCCCGAACATCTCATAACAATACTTTGATTTTGACATACAATATGTTTATATTTTAAATACTCGCGTAAATGAGTTCACTTTGAAAACATATTACTTTTTAAGTTGCGAGAACAGGCTATGTCACATGGTATCGCCCGATATAAGAATAGTTATAAAATAGAACGTCATGTGCTGCGATCGATTGATAAAAAAAAGACATTGTATATTCCTTATGTAATTTATTCTGTGATCATTGCTGAATCGCCGGTCTCTTCCTCGGAGGGCATGGTGTCTAAGGAGACGTCTTGGGAATTGCTAGACCCTTTACCATTGCTCTTGTCAATGGAACCAATGTCGTCCTGTCCTTTGTTGTTATTTGGTTGAACTTCAACATCATTTGGTTCAGATTTTGAGTCCGTTTTAGCACTCTTGTCTACGGCATCATCACTTTGAGATTTTGTAACGACACATTCACTTTCTCCCTGTGATTTCGTATTATCACTTTCCAGGAACTTTTCCCATTTAGATAATCGTTCATTCCTCTCTGCCTCGGACTCCTCGATTTCATACTTGGTTCGTCCGTCCCACTGCTGCGCAATGACTCGCCGCTTAGAGAACCATCGCTGGTGAAGGGCCGCTATACAGCCATCAGCCGAATCTGCTGCCTTAAAGTATACCATCATCACACCGTCAGGATGGTTCTGAAAACAAGGAATTCTACATACATTACATTGTTTATGACTTAAATCTTTTAAATGTTTTACCCATGTAGTATATCATAAGTTTACATTATGGCTCATATTTACCGTGAAATGCATATAAAAAATATCATTTACATCCACGAGATTGGATGCTATCACGTGAAGTATCATCGATATCTGATGTTTTCTGTTGTAGTATCATTTCAATATAAGATATTATATATAAAAAAATATGTGCACACTAGATCAAATGTTTACCTAAGTATTAGCATATGTTACGCAATCTAGATTTCCTTTGGGAGTATCATATTTATTACCAAACTCGTATTATGACAGGAAATACGCAAAAAGTGTTAATCAGAGATGGATGGATTCATTACATTTTTTTTTTCTTGAAATTCTTCAGATTGACATTAAGCAACCGAAATATACAGGCTCCAACAATATTTGATTTCACATCGATAGATTTTCATTTTGTTGAGGAAGCATCGGCTGTTCTGATGTGTCGGTATTCAACATTGATATCATCCGCGTGCGACTGATAATAAAAGTAATATTACCTATAATGACAAAAACATTTGGAATATGATTGACCGTAGATATTTACAAATACATTAATGTTCACTTACGTCGAATATTTTAACATTTTTCACCTCTCCAAATTTGCCACATTCCATCCTGACATCGTCCCTCAGATCGTTAATTAAGGTGGGGTCCTCCTGTAGGGAAAGGAAAACAACGTAAATTAAGGTATGGTGTTCCTTGGTACCTACAGAAATTACAAAAACATAGATGCCTGCCAGATCAAACGTGCATATACCAAATGGAAAACGAAGATAACCATAACATTGTCATTGTAACACACATTGTTACAAAATAGAAATAATCTCAGATTCACATCCCGTAACAAAATACAGAGATAAGTCGCCAAATAACCACAATCATTTTTATCTCACTCTCCGAAATATCTGATAATTTTTTTTAAGATATAGCCCAACACTAGAACAGATTTATTACAAAGACATACATTTACATTACAGAATATCCAGGTACCCCAAAAACTCATGTTATATACTTGTGTAGAAATTGTACTAAGTTCATAATCTTACATTTTCTAAAAATATATCCAAGAATAAATGTCATTCGATGCTACACAATAAATAGTTTTAATTTACTGACAGATGTTATTTTTTTAAGTGTCCTATGGATAGTTTTAATAGATATTCGCCAAAGTTGAGTCACATGTGATTTGATTTAAAGTACAGTACTCTAACCCTAACCCTAACCAGTCAGAAATGAAATTTACTACCTACTGTACTGCGGTACAGTTTTGTAATTTAAATTGACGACTGAGTTTTAACACTGAATGATTCTATTTTAGGACATTGTTTATTTTGTTAGTATTCTTACTGTTGGTGAACGTTTCAATTTGGATTAAGATGATTCACTAGTCTTGCAATTGATTTCGGGATTAGAAGTATTATCATGCATGCACTAGTTTGTCTACTATCATTGAAGTGATTCTAAGGATTAAATTTCAAGAAGATTATCTTCACTTAGTATTCTAGTCCCATACATTTTCTACTTCCTGTCTCAGGTTATAACTTAAAGAAAGGCCAAGACATCGATATCCAAAAATGCGATTTCTTTAAGTCTATATCAAATACCACATAGGAGGAACTCTTTGGTTGTCCACCTTCCCAATACAGTCTCAGGACGACCTCACATTTACGTTATATTTATGTTTACCAGTAAATAGCTACCATTCCCAACGCAACAGATGTACATTCCGCGTATCCCGGGAATACGGCATATATAAATAATAGTAGTATCGTAGTATGTCTGTATGGGTTATGGTGATCTGACGGAGGGGAGGCAACATTACACTTGTTATAGAGTTACTCGAGATATTCCGTGACCTTTATTATATCTGGGTGTACATATCTCTATATGATTTATATTTGTAGTCGTATGTGCCATATATCAACAGGTCTACCTAGCATAGTATTCGAAAAATCTAAAAATGTAAATATACTTAAATTTAAAACTTTCTAATCGTCCATTTTTATTATATGACAGTAGCGTTAACCGAAACTAGTTTTAAATTTAAAGGGATTCAAAACGTCGTTCATACAAATATAAATATTGAAACAGTAAAAGGGAATGACGTGTTTGATAAACTTTATTGATTTAACAGTTGCAAATCAACTTCTCTTACACTTTTATTAATCACTTTCGTTGGCCAAAATTGTAGCGAGCAAGGGGTCTTAATGTGGGAAGAAACCGGAGTACCCGGAGAAACCCCATTTGGTCGGCCAAGTGACCCAATATCTGTTCACATCCGATCGGGGAGTCGAGCCCTGGCCGTCTTTGTGAAAGGCGAGAGCGCTATCCAATGCCGCCACCCGACTACCCAATGAAGAATTAGCCGAGGTACTAGCGCGGCATTTGAAATATAACAGCAGAAAACGGTACTACTCTGCTTGTGGTTTGTTGTTCATATTTATGTGAGGAAGGATGCATTAATCATTGTCAACCCGGGTTGTATTTATGTGTACATGGGGTATAGGTATGTGCTGCTGTCGGCATGATTAGTACACCACACACATACAAGAAAAACACAAAACTGGATTATGATGATGAAGGGGACAACGACAAGAAAGGCCGCAGACATTGATAAAGATAGCTTCACGTTTCTAAATAGTAACACAAAACAGAAACATATGTAATCACCTATGGGTAATGTCGCTCAAGGTTATCACAGTATGTTCAGAGTATTGTGGTTTTCTTGGAAATTTGGTTTAAATAAACTTACTTTTAAATTTCCATCAGTTATTTATAAGCACAAAGTGTCGCTGTGTTAATACATGTAACCACATTTCACCACCTAGAAGAGACTGGCTGGAGATTATCAAAAATCATGTTTCTTTTCTTTTTCTAAATGATCTACTAATTCTACAATTCTGTCGGTGTTCGTGTATATTAACAAATGTAATACATATTTTTGCATTCCGACATATCACGTAAACCCTAATCAAATGCAACGAATTATCCATATTATACTTAATACGACTATATATAATTCGTGTGTAGTAATATTTCGCAATGGATTTTAGATAAGAAGCAGACATTACCGGAATACATATTAATGTACACAATAAAACCCAGTTTGTTTGATTCGGTTGGCGACACAACCCATCACTTAGCCTCCTGCTGCTAGCCGTTCTTCCATAAAACCAAACATCGCATACTTGTGTGGACTTGTATTCACTTACCCGTTCTATGAAGCCAATTACAATTCTATCACGGCAAATTCCTTCCCGTGAGTCTACATATCAATTTGCTAACAACCTCATGCGCATTCAGATGTGAAATGGATGCATTAATGTTTTAGGGGACACCAAAAATGCGAAAAGCTTGCGCAGCACTATGCCCCTGTTGGGATGGAAATGACAAAATTCCAGCATGCAAAATACCACGGCCATTTTGCGACATCTTTCTTACATAAATCAAATAATTGAATTACCTTCTCCCAGTATTGTGTAATTTGTTTTTTGAAATCGGACCCTTGGTAGCATTTGTCTTGGAGCAGACGACACGTGTAGCACCCCGACCTGACAGCCTCGTGCAGATGGCATGCATACCTGGGATTACAAGCGCGAGCAATAATGGTTTTTTGACGGAACCTGATCCTGCCAATTATTGTGGATATTACATCTAGCCTCTTTTCCATTCATACATAATGGCTGACTTTTAACCAATTTTCTTACAGTTTGCCCAAGGAAATATTTTCCTTGACAGCGACATATCTTTCTCGACCCGTTCTCCAACTGAATCCCTATTTTGAAGTCTGCTCCCCATGTGCAGGTTGTGTCGAAAAATCAGATTCATTTTCTGGCGGAACAGTTAATCACTTCAATTACTATTAACGTCCATTAAAGCAACATTCTTTGTATTAATAAAGATGCATAAAAAGTGTACTGTCTGTACGCATTACATGTGTTTGCGTCATGTAGATGTCGAGTTGCACCTAAACGCACCAAGTTGACTGACCTACGGATGTGCGCGTAGTGAAAGTTCGACAAAAATATTTTTATTTTTATTTTTTGAAAGATTGGAAGTGTTGTTTTTCGGGTTTTCACTTCTTACCGTTTAACATTTCATTTCCTACAAGAACACTTGCGCTAATTATTATGAGGAATAATACTCAGCAATTATGTATTATTATTATATTTCCAAACATAAATTCGTTATTTCTAATACTTTAGCCCGTATGAAGTGTTAGTAACAATATATTGTTATGTTTAGTTTCGAAGTAAATTACACAGGACATTATAAAATCTGTTTAGACGAAGGAAAGGATTTCCTATTCTACCTATAAAACAGTCGTGTTAATGCCAAACAATTGCTTTTGTCACGATGACGCGCGATAGTGTATTCTTTAGTGAACCGCATAATGTTTTGTTTTGTGTATTATATTTTTTCTTTACGCACGGTACCTGTATAACGTTTTGTTTTCTGTTTATAATTTTACTTTACGCACGGTACCTGTATAATGTTTTGTTTTCTGTTTATAATTTTACTTTACGCACGGTACCTGTATAATGTTTTGTTTTCTGTTTATATTTTTACTTTACGCACGGTTTTGTTTTATGTTTTATATTTTTACTTTACGCACGGTACCTGTATAATGTTTAATGTTTATAATTTTACTTTACGCACGGTACCTGTATAATGTTTAATGTTTATAATTTTACTTTACGCACGGTACCTGTATGATTTTTAATGTTCATAATTTTACTTTACGCACGGTACCTGTATAATGTTTAATGTTTTGTGTTTATATTTTTCATTTACGCACGGTTTTGTTTTCTGTTTATAATATTACTTTACTCACGGTACCTGTAAAATGTTTAATGTTTTCTGTTTATATTTTTCATTTACGCACGGTTTTGTTTTCTGTTTATACTATTACTTTACTCACGGTACCTGTAAAATGTTTAATGTTTTGTGTTTATATTTTTCATTTACGCACGGTTTTGTTTTCTGTTTATAATATTACTTTACTCACGGTACCTGTAAAATGTTTAATGTTTTTTGTATAATGTTTAGTGGTTTTTTTTTGTATAATGTTAATGTTTTGTGTTTATATTTTTACTTTACGCACGGTTTTGTTTTCTATTTATAATATTACTTTACTTACGGTACCTGTATAATGTTTAATGTTTTCTGTTTATATTCTTACTTTATGCACGGTACCTGTAAAATGTTTAATTCTTTTGTGTATAATTTCACTTTTCGCACGGTAACTGTATAATGTTCAAAATCTTCTGTGTATATTTTTACTTTTCGCACGGTAACTGTATAATGTTCAAAATCTTCTGTGTATATTTTTACTTTTCGCACGGTACCTGCATAATCTTTTATGTTTTCTGTTTTTTATTTTTCACTTTACGCACGGTACCTGTATAGTGTTTACGATATTTGACACTAAGGCTGGTGAGACTTAATACAGGTAAACATAGGCTTATTCATCATAGAAAACTACTTTTGTTAATATGCTTTATAACAACATTACGTGGGCATCATGTTAACATGATAAAAAAAACTAATGTAATATAAAAAATAGTATATAAACACCAATAACTATTACCTTTTATAATGAATATTTGCAGTTAAAACACATGGAATCCGTACAATTATTTCTTGCTGTCTTCAT